GAAGGTGGTTGTTGTTGGCATATGCCACCCTCAGAAAATTTTCAAATGCGTTAACCTAGAGAGCTGATAGGGATATATTTTGCTACGTGACACGACTTTTGCACTTACACACTATAGTTTTTCGGCTCAAAGAAGTTTTCTTAGTTGTTTCTAGAAGTAACAATGTGGGAGAATCACCCCCCGTCGAAAAAAAAACTTTCTTTTTCTTCTTTCAAGTCTTCCCAAGGATTATGGAAACTGTGCCCGTCTCTTTGCCCCAATCACTTTCAATGAAAGAAGAGTTAGTCTAACCGATCTGCTTGAAATTTCAGTCATCCCAAAGAACGGATCAACTAGTCAGCGAATCTAATGGCAGATTTTTTCGAATTTTTTTAGAATCGGCTAAGTTTTCAATTGCTCCGATGATATGACGCAGGGCAAATATTCAAAAATGGTACCTTCTGTATTCTCTGGAATGGTCACTTTGTAAGTAGTGTCCTGAAAAATGAACCATGTAACTCACTAGCCAGTTTGAATGACTATAATGCAGATAAAGTGCGCACCACGTATTTCCAGTAAGGTTGCAAAAAATATGATAGATCTTGTTCCGCCCCCCGCCCTGTTAGCTCGTTTTTCCTTAATTTTGTAGCAAAAATTTTAATGGCTTCAGGCTCACTGTCGCTGTCCCGGCAAAATAAGATGTCACAAGCAGAATGAGTTTGAAATCCTGCTGAAAATGACTTTTCCTAAAGCGCTTATCCCTCTGGTCGGTGGCTAGAAATGAACGGACGTAAGCTACTATCTATCATCACACAGTAGGTGATACATGTAAATCACTTATTGTTATTTGAGATATGCATGTGAGTCAAGTAACCTCTCCCTTTCGCCGTTGCTGAAAAAGTAAGGCAAGGGGAATAAATTGCAGACGTTAAAGTCGACTGTGCGCAGAGACATGGAGATTTATAAGAATCTAAATTTGAGAATAATTGAACAGCAACCATTCCAATCACGTCTTTATCAGCCAGGAGTAGTGGCACCTCTCTTTCTGATTCTCTTCGCTTTTGCAGAACACGAAGCATTTTCAGGATAGTGCGAATCACTTCCACAAGCAGCACTATAGCAACCACAAAGAGCATGAAGACAAAAAACTGCAATAATATAATTGCAGTGTTTTACAAAGCTAGATAATATACAAGTTTTGACCACAGCTCGAACGCTGGACTTCTTTTCCTCATTAGGCAATACGCGTCATACTGATGAGGACTTGCCGCTGTGTTGTATATAATTTAGTGGACCGGAACGCCTTGTCTCGCTCTGTCCTTAACTGCTCTTTCTTTCCGAATTCTATCACGTCTTTCCCACCCATGCTTCCAGGATCATCCTGTATGCTACACTCGGCCTGTAGCTGAGACTATTCCTTTTGGATTACTTGTTTTCCACTTGCACAATCTATGGGCAAAAACATTCTTTCTTCCGGAAGAATGGGACGGCACTACTTACCAGTGCTTGCTTTCTGGAATAGAACACAGCATAGCTGTAGCCAGGTTGCATTTCGCAATAAGGAACGACCGATTCACGGACTGTAGACCTCCGGGAGTGAATCCAATTTTTTGTTCCCTCGCTATTTATAGAGCATCATTTTGCCATATTCCTGGATGCAAATTTGGTGAAGCACCTTGCCCCGGTTTAGAATTGGCAACGTTCAGGGAAGAGCTAATGATGCTCACAAACACACCGATGATATCTCGAAAAAATTAAGGCGTTAAAAAACACTTGTACCAGCAGAACCGCTAAGCTAATAACTTCTTTAGCAGACGAAAAGAATATTAGAATTACCGGCAGGCTGACGATCAGACAATGCAGATTCAAACAAATAAAAAAGATCGTCAGCTACAATTTTTGAAAAAAGTAATAAATTATTAAGTTATTGCCCAGAATATTGCGAAAAATCTGCGAAAAGCCGGCTAAGAGAGCATCACAAAGAAAAAGGTGGGAACTGCCTACGGGAGGCAAAGAAAAATGCATCTGGCCTCGAAAGGCAAATACACAGTAGATGCGCTGCCAGGCTTATAAATTATTATGCTGTTCTAAATATTCCAGATAGGTATGGGAACAACGTCGGCTTCCACTCAGTGTCACTGTCGTTAAGAACCGACACTGCTGCTGAGATGAAGCCACGTGGTGGACGTAGCTATACCATTCAGAGCTGAATCCTCCACAGCTCAGGCCACCCTCTCTACTACGTTTCTTCGCGATTGCTAGAATACATGTCGCGCTGTTCAGAAGTTTCACTTCCACTCATGACTACTTCACGCAGGTTCATTTTAGTTAGAGAATCAAAAATACTGGCCGGATGAGAGCAAAATTCGTCCAGAACACGCTGTCCCTCACAGACTTCCGTGTAAATATGAGCTCTTTTCGTCTTCGTTTGTCAACATTGCAAAAAATTTTTCCTTGTTTCAGTGGGACTGCGGGAAAAGTAGGGGCACCTCTACTTTTCTGTACATGCCACCATCAGACATCAACAACTTCCACTCTACAGTTGCACTCCAAACTATAATAACGGGCATTTTAACATTCTCAGATCCCGAACATATCGACTAAGCCATGAAACTGACGCCAATTCGTGGCAACTGACATGTGACCTAATATGATAAAAGTCCAATTTGTCAATTTTGCATATGCTTTTAAGGAACTCAGTGCAATGCGTTGTGCAAAAAATTTCATTGCATAGAAGTCATACTGTGTAACAGGTTCTTGATATGGACTTGGAACCATTATTAGGGCTCAAAAAACAACTGATTCGCTCTGTTTTCTCTGTAAGTCACTACTGTACAACACTCATCTGTGTAGCTTGCAGAACTTGAGCTTTATGTTCCTGCCAAGATATTTTTACTTAGCCGCCTATTTATTACACTGTTCTGAGAAACTGTTATAGAAACTTTTATAAGAAAAAGAAATTAAGCAAACTGTACAACGAACAAAATTCATGAAAACAACCTAACCGGCATTTAGCTAAAGCCTTTTCTTCACCCGCCATCAGCTTACTTCCAAGCAATCATCAAAAAAGACATCCATCAACAGTCTCGCGAGCAAATATTTGCTGTAAGATTTAATAGTTGTCGAACTACTTGTTGACTATCTCCGCTTTTTGTGAAAGAAAATACGAAAAAAGTCTTGAATGTTGAATTTTCTTCACAAACTTAGGACACTGAGATCTGATTGCACGGGAAAAAAAAACGTAATTTCACAATTGCAAATTGGATGGATCCACATAAACATAGGCTCTAGAATCGATATCACGGCGATATTTGACGATGAAATGGAAGCTGCGGTAGCAGTCATCGCACATATGCGTTGGATAAATCGGAAAACTGTCGCTCTCAACAATCCAGCTGAAATTCGACATCTGTTTTTTCTTACTTTGCGAGATGTACAGTGAAAAACAAGCTGAGATACATCTGATCAGCAAGCTGCATCCAGACTTATGACGAGTAAAAGTCAGCTATTACTTTGTGGTACTCATAACGCAGCTCCGTGTCATAAAACCTCAAAAAAGTATCTGTCCCGCGTCCTAATAAGACCTCCAGGTGAGGTCACGCAAATTTAAACCCAGCTTTCACACAAACCTATGTTTCAAGTATGTGCACATGAAAGTTTTGGCAGAAAATTTTCTAACTCAGGAACCAAATGAGGTAAAAAGCTGAAATCCTAGAAGAATGTTTCCTGTTTATTTACTGGAAATAAAAATTTAGCTTCTACGTGCATCTGCTTTTCCTATACGGATACTTGAAAAATCCTAGGACTGGAAGTTGCAGGCATCTTTTTAGTTTCGTTGAGCTGATCAGAACAAAATGCATGATCAAAACAGCTACCTATTGCGCATTGCAATTTATATTACCTCATTAAATAACCATTTGTTCAAATTAAAAATCACAAATTATGAAAATTTCAAGGCAGGACAGTGGAAAACTGGATCGATATAATTTGCTAGTGTTTTGATTTCACAAAGTTTGGGCAGTGAAGAAAAAAAAAACGCATACTCGGCTATCCGTCTATGACATGTCACGCAGTAATTTTCCACGCTTGTATCGGACAATTTTTGCGGAAAATCTATCGGATAATCCTGCACATCCATCAATCGCAAATCCGTAAAATAAAAAACATGCTCGCATTTTCCCTGATGAACATAGACATACGGGTAGCCGAGACGACATACCAAATCTTTTATCTAAAAATAGCAATTCAGAATGCTATGAAAATAATGGAAACAGAAAGATTTTTTGAACATATCGGATACTATGGACATTTTGTACATACTGTGGATTATACCAAGCATGGAAATATGTGCACTTGGCATCACTACACGTCAAATTCCCATTTATAGCACAGGCATTTGCTGTCCAAGCGCAAAAAACATTTGATAAGCAATGTAATGGGCGAGAACGAAGACTGAAGCAGGAAAAAGATACGCGAGGAGGCAAACGAAAAATACGGAATATAAAGGAAACGAAAAAAATTCAGCTGCAAATTTCTGTGTCCGTTCTTGCCATACTCCCTAATGCTATTTTATCTTAAAACTTTTAGCTTTAACTGTTCGTGTATGTGTGTGTGTGTGAATGTTGTGTGCGCGTGTTGAGTGTGTGTGTGTGTCTGTATGTATGTGTATGTTTGTGTCTGTGCATACGAAAGGTATTTTCTTCTTTGTGTAGCCTATTATCAAAATACAGAAACATAAATTTAGGTGTGCCGCCTGAGCGCCTTCTCCAGCAACTATTAAGTTTGTCTTGGCCGAGTTACGAGATGAACTGCAAAGACTGACAGGTAAAAGGTAGATGACTGGAAATAAAGGGAGAGAACAGAAGAGAGGCGGGAGATGGTAGTTTAAGATTTGGACGGTAGCGGGAGGGGAGGATGGAGGAGCGAGGGGTTGTAATCGAGGGGAGGGAGCGGGATTATTAAAGAAACCTACATGGGTTTTCATGCTTGGCCCGAAACTTAATGCTGAAGAGAAATGAGTTATCTTGAAAGCAATGCCTAAAATCTTAGGCCTCGACAAAAAACCGGTATTAAGATTTTCGCAATTCAAACCTGAACTCAAAACGAGTGCATATCGGGTGGCCGAGCCGAGCCGCTTCTGCAGTTGACCCGCCATCGCCGTAATGTCACCCCTCTAATTATCGCTTGGAAACTTCCCGGTCAGTTATCTTCTCATTAAAATTAGAAGAGCACTGCTTTCGACTTTAAGAACACATTTTTATAAAACAGTTACGCATTTCTTGAAAATTAGCAGAGAAGTCACAATTTTTTCCAGGCATCAAAAAAGTCATGCACAAAAAATTAAGATACAGAACAAGCTGCAAACCTTGGTACCAGAAGCCAAAGACTTCACTTGCGTTGGGCCAAATTCATTTGGCTTCTTTTTCATCCATTCCCGTATAGGCCTAAAATTTAAATGTACAATAATACATCTGCTGTAAAGATGGCTTTTTGCAATTAAATTTCCCTAACAACGTAAATTAAGAAAAACTGCAGTGCGCTAGTAACAGGGGCTCTTAATCAATACACCCTAGCTGACTGCAATATCGATTCGAGAGGTTTCGAAATTGTCAGAAATGCATAAATTTAGCTAAATGGGTGCAAAAGATGAATCACAATGGGAAACCAAAGTTAGTGTAAGATTTTGGAGTGCACCGAAACCCGAAAGTCGAACCATTAACACTTCTTGTGATATGAACAGTGAGCTAACATAAAACAATCTTCGAAGAAAACCAAACAGGTCCTTTTTTTAAAGCAAAATAATAAATATAAAGTTATCATATAAAGTTAAATATATTTTCATATACCCATGTCTCGGCCGTCGGTAAGTCACAGGTACCAAGAAATCATTGTTTTTAACACAACACTATATTACTGGAATAAATCACTATTCTTAATATGTTGCATCATGACTCCCTCCTAGGCTGGTCGTGTAATGGCGCGAAAGTGGCCCTATATAAGGCCGCCGTGTCTGTATTGAAAACTAGTGCCGATCCAGTGTAGAGTTGCGGAATTATGGGTGCGACCCAGTCAACTTACGAGGGACTGGACCCTGTTACTACCCCGAACCATCGTCAAGGAGATGACGACACAACTCAACAGGCCAGAACATGGAGAAGTCGAGGAGTCGCCTAGCCAGTAAACCCAACAAATAGATCACTATCGTGCACCTAAAATACACTCAAACTGTGCTTTACAATTGTACTGCCTAAAGTCGAGCGCCAATGGTTTTACCCTCCTCCACTGTCCCCACAACCTCCAAACAACAGTATTACGGTTGAGAAAAGATTCTAGGTATCTCTGCATGTGAAATTTTACGCCCCTGTGGAACCTTGTAATAACTAAGTACAGACACATCCTCTTATCACTTGTAGAAGACGTATTCGCACTGGATAACAGTTAACAATTAAGCTGAAGGTTCATAGAGCAGGTGAAAGGAATAAAAGATATCTATCATTTCCATGGAACGAAAGAAAATGCTGCAGCGAAAGCTAGAAAACCGGTCAGTTTCGATCGAAGCAACTATTGCTGTGCTTTTAGACTGTGCCAAAACACGTGCCTAAAGTCTGAAATCTTTAAACTGTCGGTGGACGGGGGACATACTCTCAAAATTTCAGTCTTCCAGCTTTTCTGGCTGTTTGGGTAAGGCACTTTTTAACAAAACAATGAAAAATGAGCC